CAAAAAGAAAATTATTAGCCTTACCAGTCCTTTATTAGTGAATAGTTGGAAAACTTTTAACTTTATTTCATCATCGGAGAAATATTATTCAACAAAATATTATATATGGATCTCAATTCAGCAAAAAAAGAGAATGAACAACTACAAAAAACCACTATTCCTTCGCTTCAAAAAGTTAGTCGCGAGTGATATTTTTTAGACTTAAAAGATAAAATAGTAGGTAAAGAATCCGCGAAAAAAATTGTCGACTTACTGCGGGGTAAAAATCGCAGAGATTTTACCTATAATTCAGATTTGGGAAATCATGTAGTATTAATCAATGCTAGGCACATAGCCTTTACTGGTAATAAATTAGATAAAAAAAATTATTATAACCATTCAGGTTATCCCGGTGGGCTACGCACTAGAAGTACCCGCTTAATGTTAGAAAAATATCCTACCGAGTTAGTTTTTCGAATTATTAAAGGCATGATTCCGCATAATAAGTTAGGAGATAAGCAAGCCAAAAGATTATTTATTTTCGCCGAAGAAAAACATAATTTAGAAGCCCAAGCCAAAAATTTCATTAAAATTACAATAGATTAATAATGAATAACAATTATTATATTGGAGTAGGTCGAAGGAAGGAAGCCACCGCTCGGGTCTATTTAAAAGAAGGGAAGGGACAAGTTCAAGTTCGAACCAAACACGGAAAAGAAAAAAAACTAGAAGAGTACTTTTACATGGAACCATCCTTATGCGAAGTTATTTTTAAACCGCTCAAAATATTTAACAAAGAAAAAGATTATGACTTAATAGTAAGGGTGAAAGGAAGTGGGTTTCATAGTCAAGCCGAAGCTATTAAACTAGGGATAGCTAGAGCCTTATTAAAAGTTTCTCCGGAATATAAACCAACTCTAAAAAGTTTTTCATTACTGAAAACTGATCCTAGAAAGAAAGAACGAGAGCATATTGGTTTCAAAACCTCCCGGCGACCTACCCAATACTCCAAACGTTAAAAATTTGTTTTTATTTACTAAAAAAAGAAAAAGCAAAAAACTTATCAAAATAATAAAAATTAAAACAAAGAATAAATAATTCTATGGCGGGTCATTCTCATTCAGCGAATATTAAGTATCGCAAAGATAGACAAGATGAAGTTCGCTCTAAACTTTTTCTTAAACTGCGAAAAAAAATTGAAATTATTATTAGAGAAGAAGGAGGAATTAACGAGAAATCGCTAAGCATTGCCCGAGAAAACCAATTTCCGAAAGAAAAAGTTTATCAAATCTGAGAAAAAATTAAAGAAAATAAAGGAACTTCTTTTTTTCGCAACTTTTATCAAGGCTCTTTTGGTATTTTACTTTATTTAGAAGGAGAGAACAACGAAAACATTGAAGAATTAGCAGAAAAGTTTAAACTAAAAAAATTACCCCTTGCTTCTTTTCCTAATCACTTTCAGTTAATTTATAGTTTAAAAATAAGTTCAGAAAAAGCAAGTAAAAACCTCGAAGATTGTCTCCTGATATCTTTACCAAGCAACATTTGGGAAAAAGTAAACTTTGACGAGAAAAAAAGAGAACTCTCTTCGTGCTATAAAGAAGAAATAAATGCGATAAAAAACATCATAAAGAACGACTTAGAATTAATAATAGAGGAAGAAAAAAATTACTGAAAACCAATAATTCCTTACTCTCTAACTCAACCAGAAGAAATCGACTACTACACTAAATTAGAAAAAGAATTAATTGGTAAAAAATTTTATAGTAATATCGAAATGGGACTATAGTTGAGTTGGTTAAAACACACCCCTTATAAGGGTGAGGTCGGTGGTTCAAGTCCACCTAGTCCTACCAATTAAGCAAAAAATAATTCAATCAAAGCTTTTTCTCTTGGTTGCCTAAATCTATAAATCACAATAAAAATTAATATTATATGAAAAAAAAATATTTGACTTGGAAATTGCAATTACCTCCGGGGCAAGCTAGACCGGGTCAAAAACTTGCTTTTTTAGGAAAAAATGCGATGAAATTCTGCCGAGAATTTAACGAGCAAACCAAAGCAATAGAAAGTTCAAAAATTGTTAACGTAAGAGTAGTCATTAAAGAAGAAGGTTCATACCAATTTTTTCTTGAAGGAAGGGTAACCTCTGATTTAATTAAAAAAATAGTCGGTGAAGAAAAAGAAACTAGAAAAAAAGAAATCAGCAAATCAGAAATTAAAAAAATAATCCAAGAAAAGTTAGCATACTTAAACACCGAAGATTACGAAAAAGCCGAAAAAACTGTAATTGGGACGGTCCGAAGCTTTAACGGGGTCAAAATAATTAATGACTAGTTAATAAACTAATATATACTAAAAACATGAATAAAGAACGATTGCTTAATGTATTAAAACAAAAATTTTATTGAGAAAAAGAAAAGGATAAATGCTTTTCTACCATCCTTACCTTTGCCACTCTATTAGCAGTATTCCCGGTTAAAACTAGTCATTATCCTGTAATTAAAAAAATTAGTAAAATTACTTGGGCTAATAGCAGTGGGTGAGATAAATTTAATTATGTGCTTGACATAATTTTAATAATTACTTTTTTTATATTCTTACCTTTCGCCATTTATTATCTGATAAGAATTCACACTTGCTACCGCAATATTAAAATATTTAATCAATACTTATTAGAAGCGGCGGGTGAGAAATCAGAACCAAAGAAAAAAGTAAAAGTAAAATAATATCCTATGAAGCGTTCTCGTCGTTACCGAAAAATAAAAGAACAAATTCCTAGTGGTAAAATTTATTCGATTTCCGAAGGAATAAAATTTTTACAAGAACACCACGAAGAAAAGTTAAAGAATATTGAAGTTAATTTCTCCTTGGATTGGGCTAAGCAAAAAAGTAAAAATGTCTTAAAGAGTAAAATAATTTACCCTAACCCGCTGCCTCCGCGAAGTAATTTAGTAATTATTAAAGAAAATTTAACTCCGCAACTTATTGATAGCCTGCAAACCAAAAACAATGTAGAGTTATTAACGGCTGATGAATTACAAGCGAGGGTAAAAAAAGAGGATGGAAAAGATAAAAAAAAATCTCAATGAGGATTTTCCAAGTTATTAGTTCACCCAAATAGTGAGAAGCAAATTAAGCCCTTAGAAAGAACCCTTGGTCCCCGAGGAGTTTATCCGACGAAAAAAAATGGTCTTTTAACGGAAAATATTTTAGAGGAAACCGCCAAATTCTACCAAGGAGAACGAGAAATAAAAACTGATAAAGGAGGAAATATTCATATGGTATTAGGCAAAATTGATTTTAGTTCGGGAGCCTTGGAAGAAAACTACCAAACTTTGTATCACAAAATAACTAGTCTAAAACCGAAAGGGTGAAAAGGGGCTTTCTTCCGCAAAATCACTTTATCAACCACCATGGGTCCAGGATTAAAGGTATTTATATAAATTAATTCAGTAAAATAATATATATATATATATATAGGAATTATGGCAAAAGTTTTTAATATTAATAAGACTAGTTCAAAACTATACTCTGATAATAAAGCCTTAAAAATAAAAGTTCAACCATTTACTTTTGATACCACTGGCTTTCTAGAAATGGGAAAAACTCCCTGAGTGGCTCCTATAACTCACTTCCCAATCGAGAAAATTTATATTGTTGATGCTAGCAAGAGAAATCTATTTGCTAATCGTTTAATATCACTCAACGAACCACAAAAAAAGCATTTTGAGTTGCAATTTAACGAAAAAAAAATATCTTTTGGTGCTTTTTTTGGTGAGGGTCCCGAGCATATTCCATTCGATAGAGAAAATTTTATCTCATTAGAAGCTCATAAGAAAGAAAAAGCTTTAAAAATTGAACTTAATGATAAATTCCGCACTAATTTATATGATGCTGTCAACTTTAAATGATTAGAAGACGAAAACTTTAACCCCAGCGTGGCACGGAGGGAAAGTATCCAAAGACTTAAAACCAATTGAAAAGATAATTCAAGCGACGGAACCGAAACTGGCACTATTAATGGAAAGACCTTGGGGGGGGTACTGGGAACCAATTGGGAGAGTGATTTTGCTAACTACAACACTCGGGAAGAGATTAGCGAATATGAAAACCAATTACGAGAAAAAATCTTTAATGTAAAAGCAGATAAAGAAATAAAAATTAAATTTACGGTAAAAAAAGCCGAAGAAACTCGTGAGCAAAGACAAAATTATTATGATTTTATAAGCCTTAAAATCTCAACTGACTTTTTAATGTCTACTTTGGTTCCGCATTTAGACCTGATGCACGGCGGCAGTGTCCAAGATGCTCCCTTTTCGAAGATTGATTTTATTTTTAACGATGAACAGGCAGATTTAGAAACTTATGAAATGTTAGCGGAGAGCGAGGGGGAAGAACTTGAATTAAGTTTCAATCTATCTAAAATTTATTTTGAGCTTTATGATATGGCGAATGTAATCCAAGATAAACCAAAAATAGTCATGGGTGCCAGGAATAAGAAGCTTGAAGTATTTTTAACCCGCCCAGATGCTCCGGAGGTAATCACAATTCAAAAAATTAGCGAAAGCCCCGACCAGGATGATACTCCAAAACTTAATGACCTAACTAACCTATTAGACCAAGCTCTTTCCCCCAACAGCACTGAGCAAGATAAAATTACTGCTCTCAAAAAATCTGGCGAATTTTTAGGATTTATTACCCCAGAAAATCAAACTAAAATTACTCAAATTAATCAAGCATTAGCCAACATTTCTACTACTAAACTTAGTCAAGTATTAAGCGAAAAAATTGCAAAAGAATTAACCACTAATAACTTAACTATCAATGACCTACCACCCAAAGGCAAAACCATTTATCAGAATATTAAAAATGGTTCACTAACTCAAAGTTCTAAAATCCAAGCCGAAGAACAAAAATTAACTAAAATAATCGGTGAAACAGGAGCTAAAAAAAATTTAGACCATTTAGAAACGCAAATCCGGGCAGTTTTATCCAGTAGCGACCTAGAAGCCAAAAGAAGGTTACAAAAATTATTAAGAAAATTCCTGAAAAACCAAAACACTTTTTATCAAACCGAAAAACCACGAGCCCAACAGCTAAACCAAGAATTAAAAAAATCTATCCGAGAAAATGATGTCAAGCAAAATTCTGGTATTCCGTGGGGGAAAGTTCTTCCCTGGGCTGCTGTGGGAATTGGTTTTTTCCTAATCATTTTATTCATAATTAACCTAAGCAAAAGCCCCCGGAGACGAAAATATCCATATTAATAACTAAAAATTTTAACCATTCAAGAAAGTTAATGACCTCTTGCTAAGATTAATAAACTTGACAAAAAAGTAAAAGATAGGAACTAAAATACTATATAAAATTATATATAAATGCCTGCCACTGCTAAAAAAGAAGTAATTGTCCAGAATATCCAAAATAATTTTCAGCAAGCCACTGCGGTTATCTTTTATAATTTCCATCAAACTGAAAACAGGGAAATTTTTCACTTAAAAAAAGAATTAAAAAAAGTTGGTGGTCACTGAAAAGTCTATAAAAATAGTTTGATAGAGAAAGCATTACCCGATTATTCTTTACAGTTGCAGCAAGCTAACGCCCTTATTTTCTGTCAAGAAGATGAGTACAAACCCTTAAATATCCTCGCTCGGTTCAATAAAGAAAAACGTGGTCTAAAAAGATTTCACGGCGGTATTTATGAACAAAAATTAATCGATAGTTCTCTACTTGAAAAATGAGCTAACTTACCCAGCAAAGAAATATTAATAAATACTTTGTGCTATTATCTTAGTTTTCAGGCTAGAAGACTTACCAACGTTTTAGAAAAAATTAAATTAGCAAAGAAGTAAACCAATAATATGTCAGAAATAAAAATTAGCAAAGAAGTAAACAAAATAAAAGAGGAAATTAAAAGTTTAAATCTTGGACAAATAAGCGAATTAATAGATGGCTTAAAAGAGGATTATAATATTCAAGAACAAGTGGCAATTCAATCAACCGCAACCCAAACAGAAGAAAAAGTTGAAGAAAAAGGAAAAGTTTCTGTCCAGTGAATAGGAATGGAAAAAGAAGGAGTAAGCGTAATACCAATTTTCGGAGCTATAAGGGAAGCGGTGAAGGATTTAAAAGGAGAAGACATAAACATCGTTAGAGCCAAAAAACTTACCGAGGAAGGAGAAAAAATTATTTTGGCCGATATTCCTCGAGATAAAGCTGAAGAATTCCAAAAAAAAATGAAAGAAAAAGGAGCTAAAGTTGAAATTAAATAATCCTGAGCAATTTAACCAATGTCATCATATCGTCTAATTACTTCCGGAGAAAATAAACGTCGTGAATACCTTTCTTTTAACCGTTCACCACTTTTTCAAAGTTTACCAGATCGGGATTTTGCCCAAGAGCAAAAATTATCCTATCACAACTTTCTCTACGAAAAACTACCAAAACTACTAAATTTTTACTTTCCGGCTGAATCCAACGATTATAACAACAATATTAAAATAAAAATTGAAGAAATTGAATGCCACGAACCAGAGATTAGTGAAGAAGAAGCAAAAGCTAAGTCTCTCACTTGAAATCACATCATTACTTTTGACTGAATAATCGCTTGGGAATGTCACAAAATACAAATTAGTCTTTCAGACCCAGACTTAAGCGAGAACATTAGCAAATGAATAAACGAAAGTTTTAAAATCGAGAAATTTACGTGCGAAAAAAAACATTTTTCGCCTAAGGAATTAAAGTCTTTAATCACTCAAACTAGAAAAAGATTAGAAAAAGAATTAGAAATTCATAACCAAAAAAGGGAAGGGGGAGAGCCGAATATTATTTGACACTTATCTAGAAAAATCGAGTTGTTGGAACAGAATAAATACCAAGAATGAGAAATAAAAGACAAAAGAGAATTAGAAATATTTTTGGAAATTTTAGAAAAAAAAGAGAGCGAGTTATTAGTTAGTTTTCGTTGCAGACAAAAACAAAAAGTAGATTTCTGCAATTTACCAAAAATAAATCCCCAAGGAACTTTCATTATTAACGGTCACGAAAAAGTGGTAGTTCTCCAATCAGTAAGAGCTCCAACCATTTATCATTTCGTCACCGAAAAAAGCGACAGTTTTTACAGCGAAATTATCCCCTTTAAAGGTCCGTGAATTAACATCTCATACAATGCCAAAAAAGCTCGAAACATTGAAATAAAATTCCTTAATTCGAAAATAAGCATCAATCTATTAGACATCCTAAAAACCTTTGCTGTTAACTCAGAACTTTTGGAACATTTTTTTAATCCAGAAGATTTAAATCTTGAAGATTACTCAGCAACTAAACCACTAGAGACAGGAGAAAATCTACCGCATTTTCTATTTACCAAGCGAAACTCTTATTTTGATATCGGAAAACTAGGAAGGAGAAAATTTAACCAAAAAATAGATATTTTTCAATATTTACCTGGTCAAACCTTAGCCGAAGATTTACTTGATAAAAACGGAAAATTGATTTTAAAAAAAAACACCATCTTAGAAGGCGAAAAATTACAACTGCTCCAACAAAGTTTCCAAAACAAAAAATTAGTCGGTTTTACAGTTCCTCATTCTAATCACGACTTATATGTAGTGAAAATACAATCACCAAAGGACAAAAAAATTGCTTTGCCTTTAATTAGCACGGAAAAAATTTCTCCAGAAGAAAAAACTTATTTTGATTTAGCTGATCTAATTTGTGCTGTTTCCAGTCATATTAACCTATATTATGGCTTAGGTAAAATTGAAAAAGAAGAAGAAAAAGACAAATTAGAAAACCAGATTGTTCGTCGCGTAGGGGACTTAGTTTATAATATATTTAATGATAAATTAGGAGGGTTTTTACAAGTCATTGATAACAAATACTTATCTAATATTTCTCAACTAAAGAAAGCCGACTTAATAAAAATTCCTGGCTTAACAAAAAATTATAAAACAAACTTAAACGATTTCGATAACTATGTTCGCCATTTCTTCAATAATTCAGCATTAGTTCAATTGCAAAATCAAAACAATCCCTTAGCTAGAGCTTCCTATTCAAAAAAACTTAGCGTTTTAGGTCGAGGAGGATTTAAGTCAGCTAATACTACCTTAGAAGCTCGTAACATTAATCCTTCTTATTGTGGTCGTTATGATTTAGTAGAAACCCCAGAAGGACAAAGGGTTGGCCTTGTCCACAATCTAACTATTAGTGCAGAAATAAACGACGAGGGGCAAGTGGCGACTTCTTATTACCTTGTCAAGGAAGGCATAATAACCGACCAATTGGTCTACTTAACCAGCGAAGAAGAAGGAGAACAATATGTAACTCACCCTAACATAAAAATTAGTGAAAAAAATGAAATTCTTGACGCACTTGTGCCCGTTGTATACCAAGGAAATTTCTCACTAATACCGAAAGAAAAAGTAAATTACATTTATAGTTCTTTTCATCACCTTAATTCACTAACCACTGCTGCAATTCCTTTTTTTTCTCATAATGATGCGACAAGAATACTAATGGCAGCAAACATGCAAAGGCAAGCTCTTCCTCTACTTGTAAATCAAGAACCGTTAGTAGCAAGTGGGATAGAAGCGAGTCTCCTCAAAAATTCTCCTTTAGCAATTAACGCTGAAGAAAAAGGGGAAGTAGAATATGTAGATAGCCAAAAAATCATCATCAAAGAAACTAATAAAAAAGAAAAAGTCTATAAATTAAAGCAATTAGTTGCCTCCAACAAAAATACGCTTGACTCATCTTTTCCCCTAGTAAAAAAAGGTGATAAAGTTGAAAAAGGACAAATCATTGCTTGCGATAAGTGTTTTAAAAACAAAGAATTAGCACTTGGTTATAATCTTCGGGTAGCTTATTTGTGTTTGGGAGGATACAATTATGAAGATGCTATTATAGTTAACGAAAACTTAATTAAAAAGGACATCCTTACTTCGTTTTTTGTTAAGAAACATACTATTATCCGCCGTAACACTAAACACGGGCCGGAAATTTTTACTTCCTCTTTTCCCCATCACTCTGAAAAAAAACAATTTCCGCACTTAGGAAAAGATGGAATAGTAAAAATTGGTAGTAAAGTAAAAGGAAATGACATTTTAGTTGGTAAACTAACGCCCGATCCAAGGCTTCGCCAAGAAACCGAAGAAGAATTATTATTAATGAGCATTTTGGGAGAAAAAGCACAAAAGTTTATTAATTCATCACTTCACTTGCCCCATGGCGAAGAAGGAATAGTCTACGAAATAAAAAGAAAAGAACTCAAAAAAAAGAATGAATTGGAAATGATAGAAGTTTACATAATCCAAGAAAGAAAAATTGAGGCAGGGGATAAACTCACTACCCGCTTCGGAAGTAAAGGAGTAGTAGGTAAAATCGTTCCTGAAGTTGACATGCCTTATGATAAAGAAGGAAAAACTTTTGACATAATTTTAAACCCGCTTGGTATTCCAACTCGAATGAACATTGGGCAACTTTTAGAAACAATCCTTTCCTTAGCGGCCTATAAAACTAACACTAAATTCCTTGTACGACCCTTTAATAATATATCCTTAGAGACAATCAAAGAAATTATTTCAGAAGCTAAAATAAAAAACTTTGGGCTTCAAAAACTATTTGATGGTAAAACTGGTCTGCCTTTTCAACAACCGGTTTTTTGCGGCTTTATCTATACTTTTGCACTAAATCATAAAGTAACAGATAAAATTCATGCTCGCGGTGCTGGACCTGAATTTCCTTATTCGTTAATTTATCAACAGCCCCTAAAAGGACGAGCACAAAATGGAGGGCAGAGAGTAGGGGAAATGGAAGGATGATGTTTAGAGGCTCACGGAGCTCCGTATAATTTAATGGAAATGATGGGTCCTAAATCAGATGATATTCACAAACGCCGCCTAATACAAAATGAATTACTTTTTGGCGATCGCCAAACCGATCTTCGCAGTAGTCAAAACGAATCCTTTAATCTTTTGATTCAATACTTACGTGGTATTGGATTTGATCTCACTGCTACCGACAACCAAGGTAGAGAAATCGATTTTTACAAATATTTCAGCAAAAAATAGAGAAAAATATGACAGTAATAAAATCTGTAAAAATAACTTGGCTTTCACCCCGAAAAATTGAACAACTTTCCTTTGGTAAAATAACTAATCATAAAACAATAAATACTAGAACTCTTAAACCAGAACTAGGCGGTCTCTTTGATCCTCGCATTTTCGGTCCATTTCTGAATTATGAGTGCTACTGCGGTAAATATAAAGGAAAACAAAACAAGGGGCAAAAATGTGAAAGGTGTGAAGTTTTAATAACTGAAAAAAACGTACAACGTTGACGAATGGGTCATATTACTCTTACTTCACCAGTAACTAATATTTTAATCTTTAAAAATTTGGCCACTAATTTAAGTAAATTATTAAAAATTTCAACTAAAAATTTGGAAAACATCATTTACTTTCAAAATTACGTAGTAATTGACAATGGTTTAACTAACTTGCTAAAAAAAAGAGAAATCTTAGGAAAAAAAATAGACATTAACTTAATTATAAATATTTTACAAGAGATCACTGAAGACAAAAACTTGGAAAAAAATGTTATTAATCAAGCTAAAAAACTAATTGAAAAAATCAGTGAAAAAGAAAAAAATCAAGAATTAGAAATAAATACAGTATTTTTGGAAGACTATCTAGCTTTTATAGAAAAACATCGACAAGTAAAAATTGGAATTGGTACAGAAGCTTTTCAACGATTATTGAAAGAAATTAATATAGAGGAAGAATTAGCAAAAACCAAAGAAGTTAATAAAAAAGGAATATTGAAAGGCAAAAATGAAAGTATAAAATTTCTCGAAGGTCTGCGGAAAACCGGAATAAACTTGGAATGAATGCTTATTTATAATCTTCCTTTAATGCCGTGCGGTACACGGCCAGTAACTAAACTAGCAAACGAAGAAACTATTGCTACAAGTAGAGATAACAAATCTTACCAAAAAGTGATTTTTATTAACGAACGATTAAACTATTATCTTGAACTGAACAAAAAACTTAAAGTTTTTTTCAGTGAAATTATTCATAATGAAAAAAAAAGATTACAAAAAGCAGTAGATCATTTAATACATGGATCTACCAACAAACGGAATGATAGTAAAAGTTTATCACAAAGCTTGAGTGGTAAAGAAGGAATACTACGTCGTCATTCGCTAGGAAAAAGAGTAGATTATTCAGCACGTTCAGTGATTATTCCTAATCCTAGTCTTTCCCTTGACCAAGTCGGATTGCCAATAACCATAGCATTGACTCTTTTTAAACCATTTATTATCCAAAAAATATTAAAAGAAAAAAACGTCTTCACTTTAAAAGAAGCTGAACAAATGATATCCCGAGAAGATCCGATTGTTTTTTCTTCCCTGAGCAAAATTATCCAAAACCATCCTATATTAATTAATCGCGCTCCTAGTTTGCATCGTCTAAGTATTCAAGGTTTTTATCCAAAACTAACTCTCGACAAAGCTATTGGACTTCATCCAAAAATAACTATTCCCCTAAATGCTGACTTTGATGGAGACCAAACTGCTGTCCATTTGCCATTAACTAAAAAAGCTCGTGAGGAAGTTAAGGATTGCGTCTTATCTCCTCATCACATTCTTGATCCAAAAAACGGTCAATTAATAACTATTCCTTCCCAAGACATGATTTTAGGTATTTATTACTTAACTAAGGAGAATAAACCCCGAGATATACTTTTTTTTGATAAAATAAATGATGTCAAAAAAAGCTATTATGAAAATAAAATAAACCTGCACGATCTAATTATTATTCCGGCGTGTTTAGTTGAAAGAAATTTTACCCATGTAAAAAATCAATTCCTTTTCACTACCTTAGGAAAATTAATTTTCAATCAAATCTTGCCATCGACCTTTTCTTTCTATATCAATGATCTAAGAAATTATAACGAAGAAGAAGGAGAATGAAACGAGATAGTAAAGAAAGTAGAAGAAATCGAGAAAGCATGAAAAAATTATCTTCCTCTTAATGGCTGAAAAAAAAAAGATATTCTTAATTTTCTTAATAAATTAGTAAAAATAACTCCGCGCGAGAAAATGATCGAATTCCTTGATTACTATAGACGTTTCTTATTTCTTCTTTAATATAATTTTGGCAAATGTCTCTTCCCGTGATTTCGAGATATTCTTCTAAGTTTATGCTTCCTCTAGTAATTTTATTGCCTTTTTTTACCATATCTCCTTGGTTAACCCTAACGTTTTTTTTACTTAGTGAATAAATTATCTCTTTTCCAGCTTGATCTTTTTGCCTAACTGCATCTTCCTCAATGCTAATTATTTTTCCTGTTTTTTTAGCAAGAATGGCTTTTTCTCCCTTCTCGGGCTTAACGTTATCAAATATTTCTTTTACTTT